AAGAAGAAGAAGCAGGAGTCAAGCGAGTGGTACTAATAGAAAGACCACTCCTTGATGTATAAGTGCTCACATTACCGGTTACCCCTCTTCAGGTAATGGGCAAATATTTTGAGTTCAAAAAGTGACAGAACTTTCCCGCCAGCCTAATACTTATTTACTAGGAATGAGCTGTTCAGCCCACTTCAAAAAAAGATATACGAAATTTCCAATAAGCGCCCATAATGGCCTTGTGGAGCCGAAACCGTAAAAAATAAACCCTGCTATCAAGCTTGCTGCGAGCATGCTTGCCCGAGCAGTATTACAGCACTACGGGAGAGCATATTACAGGAGTGCAGTATTACCAAGCGTAGTTATTTAGTTGCGTAGCTGTTTTTTGTTGTGTCTCCGCTTAATACTTTCTAGTTCGGAATCGGTTAGTCTAAATACGTTGAAACTGTTGAAAAATGTTTTCTGGAATATCATTCAATAAAGAAAATTGGTGGAAATTTCTCATTGTAGGTTACACCTCCATTCTGTCCAGACCCGCGTGCAGTTTATGCGAAAGATGTGCTGGATATCGAGCAGTTTAGTACAGTTAAGGGAGTTCGATTAGATGCCAGTGATACCGTATTTTATGGAAAATTTAGTACAGGATGCGTAAGCATTCCTTGGCAAAATGAGGTAGGATTATTTCTTATACATTATATTAATGCAAAAGTCCTGAGACCCTATGATACGTGTTTTATTCAAACCTTTAACCAGTCAAGGATTTGTTTTCTCCATAAGTGTAAAATATTTAATTAGCGATTCATATTCCCAGAGAGAATTAAGCCGTAAGTGTACGAGTTGGTGGGAGGGGGGGGGTTGGGACATTTGCAGCGGCGATTTGCGAGGAACAATGGATTTTTCCGAGGCAAAGCATCGGTTGATGTGCCTGAGCGGCGGTTTTCAGATGAGCGATGTTAGAGGAGTTAGACGAGATATGAGAGCAGATCCCCGACCAAGCTATCGCAACATAGCTCACGTAGTTTGAGGCGCTTGCTTCTTCTCGTTAACGGAGTTCTGCGACGTGCTCGTCGTTTAGTTGGTTCACAGTTCACCGAGACTGTTCGAAATTGGAAGGACATTGTACGACCCTGGGTTTTAGGGAGTTGAGTAAAAAAGAAAGCAAAAGTTTGTTCGTCAGTTGGCATACTGATGAAGAAAAATGTAGGATCATCGAAAATCCACAGATAAGCTCCTTTTCGATTGGAATTCGAGCACTGGAGGATCCTTCGAAAGCTGAGGTGAAGAAGCACTGAATGCGCCGATGATAAGCGGAAGACGTACAAGGACGCGAAAATATAGCAAAATACCATGCTCTAATTGCGCGCTCTGCGCGCAGTTGCTTGCAAGTGCAACAATACAAGTGCAGTGATGGCAAACAATTCCAACCCTCTGCCGTCCTTACCAGTCACTTTGAAGGGCGAAGTTCGCACAGCCTCTTCTGCTGCAGATCTGCCTACCTCTTACAGGGTAGGGATTCTGAATGTCAGATGATCATGTATTTTGCTTTGAGCTGCTTTCACAAGTACTCAGTAGCACTCTTCGTCTTCTTATTCGTGGCGAAGGCAGTCACCATGGTGACAACTGCCGTTTCGCCGAGCCCCCTATCTCCAGCCTCGAAGTGGACCAACAAGCGGCGGTTGGTCGCATGATTGAGAAGACCCTACATGCGTTGGAGCCGCGGTGCCTTTAATACAGTTTCACATCATGGTGGTGGAACCTACATGGAATAGGGGAGCGCCGTACTTGGGAGACTGAGCAGGTGGGGTCGTTAGTACGGGGTCCGTGAATAAAAAAAAACAGTACAGCGGTGTTCTATCGGTAGGGGGGGGAGAGTGGAAGGTAGCGTGCTTCCGCTCTAGAAAACCTTGAAGCATGAAAGCTTGCTCCAAAAATGAGGTGTAAGTGAAAATTGAGGTTTAAAGGCAGCGCCCACGTTCACTTGATGTTCCTACGCCCTTTCTGGGATATCATAGCCCTCCCCATAAGGATGCAGTATGTACTAGTTTTGCATCTCACAAAGGCGAGAGGATAGCGCCTATCGCTAGTAAAGAGTCGACCGCCCCGCCCACCTGGCGACCACGACGCCCAACTTCATTTCTAATGGTTGCCTGATGGTGCGGTTGTTCCATTGCTGCTTCTCTCCACGTCGTGTGGTGAGAGTGAGGTGATAAGGGGAAACAGCTGAAATCAACAAGTGAGAACTCGTGCAACCACTCCTTCTCTTCGCCTTAAGCACGTACAACCGCTATTCGGTATGAAACTCCTTATAGGGCATTTTGCATGTTTTCTTTTTGATTTTTCTTCACTAATAGGTTTCTTGCTACCTTGCTATTACTACCTGAGCCGCATACTCATCAAATTTGAACGCGGGCGCTGCCTTTAAGCAGGAAAGTGTCCGACACGTGGAATGCTTCTTTAAAGCTGTTTTTTGCATGATGTAGCTGGGATCACTGAAGTGAGGGCTGTGTTTGCTGAACGGCTCTAGAAAGGCCAAAAAGGAGTGAAAAAAGAGTACAAATAAGGTGCTCCTCCAAGGCGTCTATGCTCTGTGAATCACTTGCAGCGTTGACCACTTGTGAGATGGAAGGTCTTCTCAAAAGGGATGAAATCGAGGTGGAATATAGAACAATTGGTGTGTTGCTCGTATTACGTGCTCAACAGAGCGAAGTTTTCTTGAACAATCGAAGCTGGTATGGCGGTCATGACCAGACGTCCCAGTGATTAGCATGTTTGGATCTCGATGGCGCCGTAAGGAGAGGTTTGATGGTTCAATGCCTCCGATAGCAGAATGTTTGCATTTTTAGGTTTCAGTTGTCTTGAGTCTAGATCATATGTGTACATAGGTATATCTGGAACAGATGCCTTCTATGGAGACATTTCAAACAGTAGTGCATCATGAGTCATCGCTATTCAACTATTGCAACCTTAAGATGTCATCAACATGGTGGCTGCTAAAAATTGATCCATAGAGGTTAATCGATGCTTCGAACACCAATAAGACACTTCTGTTCTGGATTGCCACCAGAACCTGCCGGTGCACCCTTTTATGACTGCCTGATTGATATGTATAACCCATAGGGAACATTGAGACATGTGATTATGACCCATAGGTAAATAGTTAGATACTCGATGCGTGACCTCTCCTGTATTGAGAGGCACGCCTAGATTAAGTTAGCATTCTACCACCACCACCACCGAGACCACCCCGTCTCGGACTACCTAGAGACCACCCCGTCTCAACTATATTGTATTCCATCGCAACTACAACGAGACCACCCCGTCTCGTCAATAAAGTACATAAACCTACACATTTCTGGTGCATCGGCCGGGAACGACTCCGGACCAGGTACCCTTTTATACCAATAGCACTTATTTCTCATTTTCATCAGATTTGTTTCCCTATAGTCAAGAAATAATCTACTATACTTCATAATGTCCGCCTACTTTTTGAGAAACGCCGTAATAAGCAGCGCTAAGTCTGTAGCAGAAAAATTAAAGAAATATGGGGGGTATACACAGAAAATTGCCTACCCAGGTGACGATAACCAACTATTTGAAGAACTTACAGCAAATGTAGAGCAATTTAGCACCTGTTTAGCACAGATAAAGCCCGCAAGAGAACTGCTCCAGAGCAAAATTGATCTTTTGGGGGATTTCTGCTCATCGATCAAGTCGAAGACTGAGCAAAAGGAGTTTATTGCGGAGGTGGAAGAGCTTGAAAAAGAAACTACTACCTAAAATTGCTTGAGGAAGCTGAGAGCTTCATTTGTAACATAGAAACCCATCTTTCGGACACAAAAGTAGAGCTGAAAAAAGTGCAGCGGAAACTAAAAGTCTCAGCTGGGAGCAGAGGTACGTATTTATCGTCGCAGTTTGACCAATATGAGGGTAGTAGCGTCCCCACAAGCGGTTGCCGGAGCTATCAAGGCACCGACCATAGTACTACCTAAATTCTATGGGAACCAGGAGGAATTTCCCGAATTTTGGGCAATTTTCGAAACCCTGGTTCATAACAGCAATGAAATAAGTGAGATAGAAGAAGATTATTTTGCTGAAAGACAGTTTACAGGGATCAGCATTAAATGTAATAAGGGGTATACAATCCGTGCCAAGGAATTATACCTGGATGGTGGAAACCCTTATCAAAAGATATGGCAATAAGCCAGTGAATAAGTCAAAAATCGTACAGAAACTGTGCGACCTCGAAACTGCATCTGAAGAGGCAAACAGCTGCCAAGAGTGTTTCGATGCGGTCAAAACCCTCATTTATCAAATGGTCTCGGCGGGGTACGATATACGAAAGACTTGTGACCCTATGTGGTCTGAAGCCATTCTGAAGAAGTTTCCGTACGATATTGTGAAAGACATTCTCGTAAAGCATCAGGAAACTGATACCATGGCAATCGAAGACCTTCTAGAGGCTCTGGACAAGGAAATAAGTGCAAAGGCCTATGTCCAGTCACGGCTTGGTCCCAGCTACCCACCCCGGGATAACAGTATTGATATGGAACGTACCACTCACTATGCAGGGTGCGTATTCTGTGACAGATCCAGTCACACTTCCTCCACTTGTGGAACGGTAACTAACCGCCAAGGGCGTCGTGACATTTTGAAAGAAAGAGAAAAGCTGCTGGAAGTGTTTCAAAAGTAATCATTCCAGCAGTAATTGCAGCAAACCAAACTGCACTAATTGCGGGGGCACACACCATTCATCGGTGTGTGCAAGCCCTGAAAGTTCGACATACCCCACCCAGAGCGCCCAACCATCCCATCAAATCGTTGGTCAAGGAATGAGAATATTCCAAACCACCCAACCAACCAGGTTTTTCCAGGTCCT